CTCCCAAGCATGATGTCCCTCTCCAAGGACCGGTCTCTCCTCACAACATGTCCAAAGTATGTTAAACGGAGCCTCAGAATCCTTGCCTCCAAGGAGCCACCCGGTTTAACCCTTTCCAGGACAAATCTGTTTGCTTTCCTAGCAGTCCATGGTATTCTCAATACTCTTCTCCAGCACCACAGCTCAAAGGCATCAATTCTCCTTCTATCCTCCCTGGTCATTGTCCAACTCTCTGATGCATAACAAGTGACTGCGAAGACCATGACCTGTATCAGACGCACCTTAGTTTCCAGAGAGACACCACTGCTCTTCAGTACTTTGGAGAGGTCCCTAACAGCAGACTTTCCCATGGCAATGCGCCTTTTAATTTCCTGGCTGCTGGTGCCAAGACTGTTGACTATGGAGCCAAGCAAACTAAAGCTGTGTACAATCTCAATCTCTTCACCATCCATCCTGATGCTGCCAATTGGTCCAGTGGTGAGAATCTTTGTCTTCTTGGCATTGAGCCTCAATCCATATTGTAGGCTGCAGTCCTTGACACTCTGCAGCAGGCGCTTCAGGACCTCTTCAGTTTCAGCAAGCAGGGTTGTGTCATCCGCATAACGCAGGTTGTTGATAAATCGTCCACCAATCTTGACCCCACATTTCTCCTCATAGAGCCCAGCTTTCCGGATAATATGTTCTGCAGATAGGTTGAAAAGGTATGGAGATAGGATGCATCCCTGGCGTACGCCCTTCCCAATTTTGAACCATGCAGTGTTCCCTTGATCTGTTCTGACGACTGCCTCCTGGTCCAAGTATAAGTTTCACATTAGAACGATCAAGTGTTCTGGGATTCCCATTCTTCTCAGAGTCAGCCACAGTTTGTTATGATCTACACAGTCAAATGCCTTTGCATAGTCAATGAAACACAGATAGACATTCCTCTGGTATTCCCTGCTTTCAGCCAAGATCCATCTAACATCAGCTACAATATCTCTAGTACCACGACCCCTTCTAAACCCAGCCTGGACTTGTGGTAGTTCTTTGCTGATGTGCTGTTCCAGTCATTTTTGGATAATCTTCAGCAGAATCTTGCTTGCATGTGAAATCAGTGAGATTGTTCTATAGTTTCCACACTCTGTTGGGTCACCTTTCTTTGGGATAGGAACAAATATCGATCTCTTCCAGTCAGTTGGCCAAATGGTTGTTCTCCAGATTTCTTGGCACAACTTGGTGAGCACGTCCATGGCAGCATCTGTTAACTGAAATATGTCAACTGGTATACCATCTATTCCTGGAGCCTTATTTTTTGCCATTTCCTTCAAAGGAGCCTTAACTTCTTTCATCACCATAGGCTTTTGCTCATATATTGTTTCATGAAATTCTTCTGTGTCTTCCACTTCCTTTCGATACAGTGACTCAGTATATTCTTTCCATCTTCTTTTAATACTTCCTGGATCATTTCACATTCTGCCGAAAGCAACCTTGATTATAGCAACTCGAGGTTTGAATTTGTTCTTCAGTTCCTTGAGCTTAAGATATGCTGAGCGAGTTCGGCCCTTTTGATTTTCTGACTCCTTATGAAAGTATTGTATCAAAATTATTTTAGGCACTAACAAGAACACATTTTTATTCATTAATCAGCAAAAGGAAGCACTTATTGAATGTCTAGCAGATTTGCCCCACTTAATTTGTCACAGCAAGTTTTGTTGAGCCTAGTCCTCACGTTCAAGGAGAAGAAAATAAAATCCTCAGATGAAGCTAGATGGACATTGTTTTGCCAATGATCTTGAAGTTCAACTGTACAATTCAGTTTCTATACTTCTCATTTCCCATGAAGAATGAATGCTGTTGTTGTTAGGGTCCCATGGTGTTGGCTATGACTCATGGCAACCACATATAAAAGAGACCGAGCCTTGCCTACTCCTGCCCCACTCCTGCTGTGCTCAAGTCCATTGCTGCAGTGACTGTCAGTCCATGTCCGTGAGGGCTTCCTCTCGTCTGCTGGTCTACTCTTCCAGGCACGCTGTCACTGCAGGGACGGGTCCCTCTGACAGCATGTCCAGACTAAGATGAAGTCCCATCGTCCCTGTTCCAAAGGTGCATTTAGGCTTCACGTCTTCCAAGGCAGGTGTGTTTCTCTTCTGGCAGGTTACGGGGTACAGTCAAAATTCTTCACCACAAGCCACAAGCCAAAGGCATTGATTCATTGGTCTTTCTTCGCCACTGTTCGGCTTCTATGTGCATATGAGGTAACAGAAAATACCAGATTTGTTACTCAATGTAATACATCATTTGATTTCTTGGCCTCTGCTTCCCTGGACGCCGACTCTAAACTGAAGTAAAATGAAATCCTTCACAACTTCAATCTTTTCTCCCTCTATCATGTTGTTACTGGTTCAGTTGTGAAGATTAAGTGAAAGCTTACAGGTGGAAGCCCCCGGCACAGTGCCCGCTGCTGACATCAGGCTCCCCTCACTTCCTCTTCCGAGGCTGCATGCTGTGGGACAGGATGGAGGAAACACAGCTTCAGACCCCGACAGATCTGTATTTGCCTGGAACTACTTGCTGCCTCTGTGACATGAGAGGAATTATAAACTCTATCTGCAGACAGTAATAATACTCATTCTCCAGGTTTAGTGTGCAAAGTCATTTAATAGTGAAGTGTTTTACTGTAGAATGAGTCTGAAGATCCAAGGGGGGAGGTGGAAACAGGGGGGACGCCAATCGTGGGGTCACACAATCTGACGGGTGTGTGTGAAGGAATTGGCAAAGATCTGGTGCGAAAAACAATGTATTCGAATTTGTAAATAAATCAGATTACAAAATAAAACAGTAGTGTATCGGTACATAGACACCAGAAGACATTTATTTAGGGTCCCGATCTCCTCCCCCAAGAATCTGTTCACACAGCATCAGAAGTAGGAACATACTTTGATGTGAGAGACCTGTCAAATACTTTCTCCTCTGGTAAGAATTACAGCATATAGTCCTGACAGCGCCTGTGTCCAGTGTAGACTCCACTAAAGCTTATTTTGCCAAGGGAAACTACTGTGTCCAGTGTCTCATGATGCAATGGGCGGCCCTGGCCACTCTGTGGCTGTTGGACTGGGTCTTTCTGGTCTCAAACCAGAGCTCTCTTCACTGTCTCAAGCACGTTCTCTCCCTTTGGTCATTTGTCCCTGCCCTCCAGCCCTCTCTACAGCTCTTAGAACTCCAGCAGGGCGGAGCAGAACTGACCTGCAGGCTTCCTCTGTAATCTTCACGGAAGCACAGCACCTCTGCTTCTCCTGCTGAGTCACTTAGTGACTGATAAAACTGTCTGCTTAGTCATACTGTAACACAAATTAAGGAGCAGAATAAGGTGTGAACCATAATTGGAGCTTTTAAGGTCCCTATCAGTATGGACTGAGGCTCAATGTCAAGAAGACAAAGATTCTCGCCACTGGACCAATTGACAGTGTCAGGAGGGATGGCGAAGAGATTGAGATTGTTCACAGCTTCAATTTGCTCGGCTCCACAGTCAACAATCTTGGCACCAGCAGTCAGGAAATCAAAAAGCGTATCGCGATGGGAAAGTCTGCTGTTAGGGACCTCTCCAAAGTACTCAGGAGCAACGGTGTCTCTCTGGAGACTAAGGGGCACCTGATACAGGCCATGGTCTTTGCAATCGCTTGTTATGCATCAGAGAGTTGGACAATGACTAGAGAGGACAGAAGGAGAGTTGATGCCTTTGAGCTGTGGTGCCGGAGAAGAGTATTGAATGTACCATGGACTGCCAGGAAAACAAACAGATTCATCTTAGAGAGGATTAAACCAAGCTACTCCTTGGAGGCAAGGATTCTGGGGCTTCGTCTGACATACTTTGGACATGTTGCCAGGAGGGACGGGTTCTTGGAGAGGGACATCATGCTTGGGAGGGTTGAGGGACAAAGCAGGAGTGGACGACCCTCTATGAGATGGATTGATCCGGTGACTGGGGTAATAGGGATGGGTGTGTCAGAGGCAGTGTGGTTGGCGCAGGATAGAGCAGGGTTTAGGGCTGTTGTGCATAGGGTCGCTGAGTCGCAAATGACTCAACGGCACATAACAACAACAACAATGGTTAAGGACGTTATCCATATTGCTTAAACCAGGAAAAGGGGTTTTAGTTCTGCATAACAATCACTGGAAACTCACCTATACTTAAGACTTTACTAAATGTACACCACGTGTAGCAGACTTTTAGAATCTGGAGAAACTAGAGACGGGAACTACCAACCTAAACTGAAGGGCCAAGGGCAGTGGCCTGTATCAAGGGGGTCCCGCACATCCAGGGTGGACATGCCTGAAGGAGAACACCGGGCGTAAGGCAGGAACACAGGATCGCCCTCGCCGGGCCTTAAACCCGACACGGGCACCTGTAAGGCTCTGGGGCAACCTAGCACCTCTGGGGGACAACTAAAAACAGTCTAGAAACGTCTGCCAGCTGCAGCCTCAGCGCTTTTGCAACACCTGCTTTTACGCTGTCACGTGCAGCGTCGACAGCAGAGCCACGTGACAGGCCGGTCACCGCTGGCCTCGTAAACACAGCATCAAGCAAAGCAGGCGACCCGAAGTGGGCGCACCTTCAACCAGGTCCTTCTAGACGTCATCGCCTGCGGGGGCCACGCCGAGCCGGGGGTCACCTCCCAAAATTATTAACGCGCAGACAGTGGGGGCTCCTGACCCTCCGAGAGGGTCTACTCGCCCGTCACCTTGTGCAACTGTCACCCCATGAACTGGCGCTTGTCTGTCGTCCAGCCCGCAGCCCCACACGCCCAGGGGCAGGACTGGTCACTTCCAGCTCTGGACCCCGCTCCGTGGACCCCTGGAGGGGGCCCTGTCACCCCGGGTAAGTTTCTGGAACACGTGATTTGGGGGCGCAGACTCGCTGAGCGCATCCCGCGGCACCCGAAAGCCTCCCTCCGCGCCCGGCCACGCTGGGGTCCCCGAGGTGAGCTGACAGCCGCTCCCGGCTCGCCGCCGCCAGCTCTTACCCATTTGTCCAGGGGCACCTGCGCCAGGGAGCCGGTGCCCTGGTACAGGTCCAGGCTGAGCTGCTCCAGGCTCAGCTTCTCCTGCAGGAAGTGGCCCAGGTACCGCTGCAGCAGGTACCGGCAGGCCCTCTTCTTGATGGACTCCGAGAACGGCCACGGCATGGTGAGGGCTGGCGGCGCCGCGACCTCGGCTCCCTGGCAGCGCGGGGCCTACGCCCGGGGCGTCCGGTCCAAGCCCGCCGCTCGCCGGCGCCCCGCAGGGCCACCCATGGCCGCGCCGCTGCGCTGGGCCTGGCGGGGGACGGTGCTCTGTCACCGGCCGGCGGCTTCCGAGGGGTCGTCGTCCGCACGGACGCTGCCGGAGGGCCGGAGCAGGCGGCCAGCTGAGATCGGGCAGGGCCGGGCTGGGCACGCACCGCCGCCGCCGCGCCACCGATTTGTTGTCATCCGAGGGCGCGCTCCCGGCTCCCGGACGCTCCCGGCGCGCTCGCGAGACCACGCTCCCCGCGCGCGGCCGGCGC